TGTACAAATTCAATAGAGTGACAGAAATCAACCACGAAACTAATTTTAACCGCTGATATACTTTGTCTTACCTCAAATAAGACTGCTTGTTTGATCCCTAGCTACATGCCATTTGTTACCCTCTCATGTATATGTTTCATATGTTACTGATAATGATTTGTAGGTTGTTTCAATGCTGTAATCTTTACTTTTGTTCTATTTGAACCATTAACAAAGACTGGAAACATAAATCTGACTAAGCTTTTTTGTTGTCACTGAGTGGAAAAAACAAGTTATCTGGGGTAAAACTGATTGATGCTCTCATCATGCGTTATGAATTCGCAAGAAAGTTCATTTAAATCAACATGAACAGTCTTCAGCTTTTAATACATTCAGGTGGTAAATTTCAATGGCATTGTCGTAGTTAAGTTCGTTCTGACACCCAAACATAGGAAAAGACAGTTATAATCTTGAAAGGTCTTGCTACTATAGCAGCTATTGATATTGATGCTCAAAAGTTCCTTGCACAGATATCATCTTCAAGAGGCAACTTTTTCTATCATATTCTTTCTAAACTGAAATCTGCATGAGAACTATTAAAATCTAAAAGGAGTTAAAATTAAAATGATAAATGGATCTTTATGATATCAGTTATGGCCTAAAGGTAAGGTAATGTTGAAAAAGATGGTCATGACTGATGAGTGATAAAGACTGAATGAACATGTTAAGGGAGCAATGCATCGTTCAGGTATGTTAGTCTTAGCAGTCATTATTTCTCCCTCATTGTAGTTTGAGAAGTATTTTATTCAGTCGCAAAACAACTTTCATTCATCCTGCTTGGTAAATATTGTAAATATGTATATTTTGTAAATGAATTACTATAGGTTCTAGATCAAACTGTTGTCTTTCTCCTATTCAAGATCTTGCATGTTGAGATCTTAGTGTTGAGATCGTGTACGGCACAGGCAACAACGACTAGTAAAAATAAAAATAGAGACAAGCATACTGTAGCGGGTTTGATGGAATAACAAGAAAGGGAGCTTTTTGTTGACAACTAATCTTGTTCTTGGCATATCATTGCTGTTTCAATTGGTCTTTTCCCATGCTGATAGCTTTGGAAGAAGAGTTCAACATAATTCTTAACGTCTTTGTATGCTCTTGGCATTTCCTCATTGATAAGCTTCTCCACTGGTCCAATTCCATCAGTTACATCTGGCATAATGAAAACAGCAAGGGTGTTTCTTTCTTGGTCTGCATTCGTTACCACCCTGTGCACGGGGCTCTTAAAGATACCATTGCTCATTATCTGCAAGAACAACAATCCTAAGAACTCTACATGTTGTACAACATTTTGTTGGAAAATATTAGAGATGGCAACGCTAAGGAAGAATAATTAATCAACGACCAGTTCATTTTGTAACAATTTTAATGATAAAAGAAGAGAATTTTGAATAAGAAAAATCATTCTGATGCACGTTATGGAAGGTTGATTTCAGAATAGATTTCCCTTGCTACCTGAATGCAAATAGTACAGTAATGTTCTACTTCTAAAATACAATGAACCACTCAGCAAATCATCTAATGTACACTTATATAGAGCTCTAGGATACTCATGAAGGACAAAGGACGTTTGAAGGAATTGAAATCATCAAGAGCCAAATAATGCTGCAATCATACCATTCACTGAAGAGATGAGCCCTTATAACTACTGGATACATCTTTTCAGATGTTCCCTAAAAAGGTTGAATGCATTTTTTTCGTAGAAGAATCGCGTCTAACCAAAAGACGCGTTAAATTTTGAATCACTTAAATAAATCCAACACATTTAAAGCTTTGGCATGATTTAGTATATTCTTTCTTACCTCTACTTGATCTCCAACATTAACGAGGAGACCATATGGTACAATAGGTACTCTAAACCATTGATCATCTTTGAGAACCTGAAGCCCCTCAACTTCTTTGTCTTGCAAAAGGATGGTAATGGCCGATGCATCAGCATGTGGTTTGATTCCAAGTACAACCTCAGGTGTTGGACACGGAGGATAGAAGTTGAATCTTGCAATCATCTCTCTGCCTTCTCCACACTGATCCAGAAAGCAGTTCTCCTCCAAGTTCAACGACACTGCCATGGCCTTAAGGAGGGACTCACTCAACAACTTCATATTATTAATATATTCTTCAAAAACTTCCCTGCCACCAAGTAGTAATTTGTTAGCCCGGTGCATCTTAACTTGTTCATTTCGGAGTAAAAGCAGAGAAGATGTACCTGAAACATTCAGGTTTTTGGGGCCACAATTTGAGGTTTCTTATAGCTTCAGGAAACACATTTAGATACAATCTGTCAGTCCAATCAAGCTTTTGCTTATCTGAAAGAACTGAATCGTTTCCGTATCCATAAATGTCATCAACTGTTCTGGCATATTTAAGCTTCTCTTCAGCTGGAAGAGCAAAGAACTGTTTGCTAATTTCATGCACTTTGTCAAGAAATGAATCTGCTAGTCCGTGATTTATGACCTGAATTTCCAATATAATGATTCATGTGTTAAACGGATATTGCAACCAGGCAGGGGCAGACCCACATAGAATCCTCCGGGTGCTTAAGCATATATCTATGTGGAAATCAAGAAAAATTTGTATAAAATTAATCTAGAGCATCCAATGAACAAATGGTTTGATTGGTCTAATGGCTCTTAGTGGGTGCTTAAGATTGTATTAGTGTTGCTCGGCCTGAGTTCAAATATCCTAGATCACCCACTACAACTAGGAGGGCAGAGAGCATAAAGATTTGTGTTCATATCTGTTTCTTTTACTACTACTTAACTATCATCCCCTCGTAATACCCTTTTTCTAACTACTCTTAGCTGTGGCGGGGATTCAATTTGTGATACCTGAAATTATCGGTTCATATCTAATATTATGTATTTTAATATATTTTTTTTATTTTCTATCCGCTTTCCATTTTGTAGTCCGGCTAATTCAGATTCGCGCTGCCTAAGACTCTATTCATGGGGAAGTGTCTCCTACCAAGTATTTTTCCATATTCAGAGCTCTAACCCAGACCTCTAGTCAAGGGAGGAGGAGCTCCACCATGGACCACATCCTTTGGTGGTTATATTATAGATTTCATTATGAGTACATAACTATAGTCTATATTGGAAGTTATGGGGCCGAAAATCTACATGAGCCCTCGTTCTTACATGTAGGGTGTATATTTCCAATTTTCCTATCTGGTCAAATTTCTCTAGGAAATCAATTCCGTTAAAAATGAGGAATATGACTTTTTTAAAGGATGTTTCCCCAAACCTCGCCCCTGGACCATACCACCCCCAAATCTTTCTGTCAATCACAAGCCAAGTTAAAAAAAATCAAACCTGGATGCAGCCACAAAACTTGAGGCCTGATTGAAGTTTGTTGAGCTCTTGTTTTCTGGCAGTGGATGTGAGAAGTCTAAGGTCAACTACTGGCACATTCAGCATGGGACAAGAGCTATTGATTGACCCTTGTGTATGAATATACTTTTCTGGAACTTGATTTTCATTTGCTAGTTCTTGTACTGACTTGAAAACTGTTTTTTGATTTTCAGCCATGGATCTGTTAGAAGCAAATTTAGAAGCAAATTTAAGCTACTTGCAGATCTTGTTGTTTGATACAATTCCCAAGAAAAATCACATCAAGGAGAGAGGGCGGTTGGACTTGGACATATAGTAATAGCTGGAGAAATGAGAATACAGCCAATTGGTCTTAAAATCAGAATTTTTTTAATGGAATATTGCTCTATTTTTTTGATTTGCTTATTTTTATAAGAACCCAGTCAAAACTTTCTCTGTCATCTTTCTAATTACTATATACTTTAAGTTTGACGGGTCCTAATAACCCCTAAATTGATACAAATTGGTATCAATCTGTGTTAAGGTATGGACTAACTAAAAGCCCCAGATCAATGCATTTTTTACATCTCCAAATTTGAGGTCTCTCTTCGAAAACTGAAGGTGATGGGCTCTACTGCTTCATGTTTTCGATTATATCCAGCACTGAGTCAAAATATCATTATGAAACATAACAAGTATATAGGAGACTGCACCACACATATTACTTATAAAAAAAACCTAATTGTAAATTCCAATTTCCCATTAGCACAAGGCTGCGGACTTTGCAATCTAAGGAGGTGAATAAAGACAGAGAAAATCTAGGCATGAACTCATGGACAAGACAGTGAACAGCCTATCTCGTAATCAGATAGCTGAAACATTCTCAATTGCCTGTGCTGGTTGATTGTTGGCCCCAATTGCTGCAGCTTTCCAACCACTATAATTGCCGCTTGGATCACTCATGTATAGTTGAAAGCCATAGTTCTTGTCCCAGACTGCGAAAAGAAAGGAAACACCAAATGGATGAAGCCCACCAAATTTGAAAGAGGTTTGCACAACTTAAACTTGTATAAAGTTGAACAAATAGACACACATGTTCTATGTGTCATTATACATGTCATTTTTTGTCCTACGTGGTGTCTTACGCGTATATTTTGTCATGTGGGACTCATGTGTTTATTTATTTAAAGTTGAATAGTTATATTGCATGCTTATACATTATGAAAGTTGAAGGTTAAAGTTAAAATTTGAAACCAAGTTTAAGATTTAATATATATATTATGCCTAAAATAATTGATAATTAAAATGTATTTTGATAAATAATTAGTGATAATTCAAATTGAAAACTCATACATCTAATAAATGAAACCTTTATGCCGATCTTCACTTTAGAAAAAACACAAACTCAAAAAACCAAAATACTATTGTACATTGTCATGATAAACATTTTGTGAATTATATTGTCAAACTTTTATAGATATATGAGACTATATTAAAGTGTCTATTACGTTTGAATCACCTATTATTGTATTCATTCAAATGTAACTCTCCTAACAAAATTTTCTCAAACTTGAATTTGAAACTTTGAACCATCTTAGTACTGCATTCGATTGTTTGCAATGAAATAGGTTGAAGTATCCGAATTAATAAATTCACAACAAATAAGCATACTTAATTAGTTTTAACGCAACTTATTGATGATAGTCGTAGGCTCGCCAGAATATGAGTAGACGTGTTAATTAAAAAAGGGAGTGACCAAAAACTGTTTTTGTACTTCTAAAAGTGTCAGCAGTTACCTTCCAAATAAACTTAACTTCACATTTCCAATTTCCTAAATTTATTTTCACAGATATTTTAAAACGAAAATAGCAGTTTGTTGATTGAAACCCTAACCAAAGGTTTCCCGATAAGGCTAAAAAACAGTAAAGAGGAAGAATGGAAGAAGTTAGCAATGGAGGGATGTTGTACCACGAGGTACAAGAATCTAAGCTTTGCGTTGTACATTGTGTAAACACCGTTTTACAGGGGCCTTTCTTCTCAGAGTTCGATTTGGTTGCGGTAGCTTCCGATCTCGATCATACGGAGCGGCAGATGATGGGGTAATTTTATGAATGAAAGCTTAATGAGTAGTCAATGTTTTTACTTTTTGTTGAGCATGTGGAAGTGGAGATTGTATTTTGTTAGGAAAATTGATACATAAGTTGCTTATTTTGAATGTTGATGTTTTGTTTCGCTGAATGGCCTAACTCAATGAGTAAGGATTAGTTAGCTTCTAATGTTAATATAAAACTAACAACGATAAGGAAATTGCGAGAGGTTTTCTGTAGTTTCAAGCTTTTATTGTATTATTTTTTTTCTTTTCATGAATATTTATCTTTCACAAGAAACTAGTAGCTTGAACAGCTCAAATCATTCTGAATTCTTGTGTTAAAACTCATAATCCTACTTCATGAAGGGTTTGAACTGTCCTAGCTGATTTCAGCGTGACTATGACAGCCACATACATCCAGATCTGTCTGTCACAACCATCCTCTATAACAATTTTTCACTATAAGAACCATGTTTACTGTGGAACTGATTTCTCATGTTATGTTGTGTCATATGTTTACTATAACAATATTTTGCTATAATAATCAAATCATATCGGAACAAATGATACTCTTATAGAGAGGTTTGACTGTATTAGATTGGTAGAATAATAATTTGGCCTAGTCTTATAGATAGGTTTGACTATATGAGATATCAGGTTCAAATCCCAACAGAGATGAAAAACATTAAGTGATTTTTCGATCTAACTGGAACCTGTGACCGTGAAAGGTAGCAATAGCCTGTGAATAGACGTGGTTTACCTAGCTGGCTCGGGCACTACCTTCATAGAAAAGCACTTGATGGCTTAGTTAGTCCTGCCATGTGTATGCTAAATATGTTTGGCCTAGTGTAAGTGATGGTGTATAATGTACAATCATGTAATTAGGTGAATTTGATTTGGTAGAACCTTAGTTGAGCTTGAGTAGTCAATCTTTGGTAGATGCAACTCTACTAGTTTGCTTGCTCTATTGTTGAATAGAAAATCCTCTGAAGTTCTAATAGATTACAATTCTCTCCTCGAATTGCTCATGATTCAGACATGTTTTACTTGTCTAACTCAGAGTGATAAACTGATAGCATATCAAGGATTATAAATTGGGAATTAATAGCTCCCACAACATTTCGAAGATTTAGATGGTCATTTATGAGAAGAAACATGTGCTCGTTCATTCTTAATTTTTCTTACCTGGAGTATTTGTTGCTGTTAAGAATTAGGACATTATTCATACCCATTCCTTGTGTATTTATGAATCAAATAGATCCCTATACTTGTGTATATTAGAACATGAAATCCCTTCCAAAAGAATTAAGATAGTTCTCAAAATTTTCAATTGTTCTACCACAACATCACGAAATGTTAAGGTGTCATCAGCATATTGGAGATGTGTAATCTCTTGACTGTAATGACTATTCATGGCTACATCAAAGCCCTTAAATCACCCATTAGGACTGGTAGTTATGATCATGTTGTTTAACCCTTCCATGTCAACTGTGTAACAAAAAAATGACAAGGGGTCATCCTGCCTCAAACTTCTCTAAGCTGGAAAAACTCCTTCTGGGGAGCCATTAATGATGATTGAGAATCTGACAGTAGAAACTCAAAATTTTATCCATTTACTCCAAAGCCCAGTTGTTGTAAAATGCTTAGTAAGAAATTCAAGTTCATATGGTCATATGCTTTCTCATTATCTAGCTCTCAAAGAATACCAGAGTTCTTCCACTTCTGTCTTGAGTGCATTGCTTCTATCTATAAGTATGGCGTCCATTACTTGCCTTCCTTTTATGATTGTCATCTAGTGGAATCCACCAATTTTTCCATTACCCTTTTCAGTCTTATCAGTCAGAACTTTTGCAATAATCTTGTAAATGTTGCCTATGAGACTTATAGGTTTGAAGTCCTTTAACTTCTTTGCACCTTCCTTCCTGTGAATCAAAGCAACGTAGGTTGCATTGGAACTCCTTCAAAGAAAGCATTAGAATGGAATTTGTGATTTACCCCATGATGTCATGTTTAAGCACCTCCCAGCATTTGATGAAGAGTCCCATTGTGAAGTAGATTGCGCCTGGTGCCTAATCCATAATGCACATATTTAAACATCCCAGGACTTGCATCAAATCTGCTTTAAAACAACTCCTTTTATTCCTCAGTCGTTGGAAAATTCTCTAAGTTTCTTGCAGGCCTACAATCTTTTAGTGTAGAGTTTTTTTTAAAAAAAAATCCGTACTTGATTTTTTATGGTTATGATATCCTGGATCATTAATTGGTAAATGTTGTTACATCTTTTGTGGGCATTAGCATTTGATGGAACAAATTTGTGTTCCTCTTTCCTTTCTTTAACCAAATGGCCCTGCATCTTTGCCTCAATGCCACTTCTTCATTCTTTAGCATTTCTTAATGCTTCATGATCAATGATGCCTTCTCCACCATTTCCTCCGTAAGATTCTGTCTTTCAGTACCTTGTCCAACATTGCCGATTGTTTGAGAAAGTTTGACTTCTGTACTTTCAGGGTGCCAGTTGGATTTCACTCCACTCCCCAATTTACCTTTCAAGGTTTACATTTTACAAACTAAATTATACTCCCCCTATTTCAAATTGCTAGGTAGGCCTATATTGACTTGGCAGGGAGTTCAAGATAATAAAGAGGACTTTTGAATATTGTGATCTTAAATTAAAGATATGTCAAATGTACCAAAATGCTTTTTAATCTTGGAGTCTTAAACATGTCTGGTACAAAGCTTGAATTAAAGTGTTGCTGAAAAGGGAAAGGGTCATTCCTTTTTAAATCAAGTAAAAAGGTAAGTAGGTCAAATAAATTGAAACAGGGGGTGTAGTCAGATTTTCCTAAAAAATAAAATGTTGTCCCCTAACTTTTAACTATGTTAACAAAGCCATCTGTATTCAGCCACCAATTGCCAAACTTGAAATATGATTTTGTTGCTCCGAATCTCCACATTGAAATATATCAACGATATGAACAGTTGTCACTCTGATATTGCAAAAGATGTTATCCCGCTCTCCAAATATATAGATTCTATCAATTCTTAAGGCAGTAGTATTGGGGTCCCCTCTATACCAAAAGCAGTTAAGCACCACCTTCTAGTTTAGTCCATTCGAACGAGATTTTTGCACTTGATCTAAACTTATATAAAGAAAATCCTATTTTCCCCATGAGAGATAAAGAAAGGAATAAAGAAAATAACGATAACAAACTACAACAGAAGGTAATTCCTATGAAGAAGTCACCGGAAAAGGTGTTCATACTAGGTTGTTAGTTGTAATATCCTGCAAGGTAATCAAATTCTTCCTTGGTAGAACTACATAACACATAAACAAGTAAATGATTCAGTGTGATTATTCTGTAAAAAAGGAGCGGCATTGTTTAAATCTGAATTTGTGCACTGATAGGTTCAACTTTTAAATAGGAGCTATTCTAGTTCTTATATCTAGCAAATAATCACCATATTATGTGACATATATGGCATCATCTAAATATAGCCACCCCAAACCAAATGAAAATAAAAAGAGAATTAGCTTGAAAAGGAAGGAGAAGAAAAAGAAAGAGGTGAACATAACTTAGATGGTGATTACTATGTACTCATTCTTTTAAACAAATCCCTTGATGGGTCCTTCCTCTAATCCTTTTCTTTGTGCAGATTACACTGGTTTCTTCTTTGGTTAATTTTTTGGAAACTCTAAGTCGAATTAAGATATTTTAGTTGTGAAAGAATTTTGATTAAAATACCTTGATATGACTGCAGTAAATGCTCTGTGATGTTAATCTCCGGAAAATATGGTGTGCTGTTAGTCTCCTAATCAGAAGTCATCTCTTTCCTACATAAAGAATCATCATGATTACCTACAGTACGTAATAGGAACGTTGAAAACCTTTTTCTGTAGCACGATTGTACCTGGTTTTATTACATGCCATTAAGGAACCTTTGTGTGATGCTGGTCTAAATTTGCATTGTATTTTTGGGTGAAGTTTGTAGGATGAATTCATGTTGTGCATTCTAATATCTGAACACTTTGTAGCCATAACTGAACTTGTATGACTGTAGAAATTGTATTTGACATAATGTATAGGCTGCTTACCTATAAAGTTAGGAAACATCTTGTCAGTTTGGCATATTTATTATGAAGAAACTCAAAATCCAACCTTCTATATGTGAAATCTTGTATATAAAGAACACAAAATCCAAGTTTAAAATGATGATTCTATGAATGAAATGAATATCGAAATTCCAGCACGATAAAGAAACAATAAATTATTGTGTCAACTATTTCTATAACATTTAGTGGCATAGGAATTGAGTCTTTATGAAGAGGATAAGGCTCCATATGTTACTTTTGTCCGAGCTTAAGTTTTAAGGGGTCGTTTGGTTGGGAACAAGTTATCCTGGGATTAATTATCCTGGGATAACTTATCCCACCATATATATTGGATAACTTATACTATCACTGTGGTATAAATAGTGGGATAAGTTATCCCAAACATGGTAACCAAACAAGACACAAAAATTTTATCCCATCACTATTATTTACCTTTCACACCAAACGACCCCTAAGTCTATAAGACCTGTTATGCTTGCAAGATTTGTTGTGGTTTTATATTCTCTTCAGGTAACAAGGTCTAGTTTTCGTGTGGCTTTTTTGTTTTCTTCCAAGCATAATAAATTCTACCATTGTAAATTAAAGATGGGTTTTTCAATTTTAGGTTACTAGAATCGTACTAGATTAAGGTAGGGCAAGGTTTTTGTGTATACTACCCTCCAAGACTCCAGTTGTGGCATTTACATTAGGCATGTTGTAAAATCACGCTAGATCATTGACAGCAATTAATGTCAGTATAATGAAATTCTCCTGAATGTAACATCGAAGAAGTTAATATGGTTTCATAATTTTAGGGCTGTTTTGACGTGGGAGCAACTTTAAAAATGAACTGGTCTTTCATTCATTCATTTAATCTAGTGATTAATCACCACAGTACACAAAAATATGGCACACTCTAAATGTGACCCAAAAAGAACTTTATTTTTTTCAAAAAAAAAAGGAAGTGAGAAAAGGCCCTGGATGTTGCTTAGTGGTAGAAGAGGTGGAGTACAACCTAGCGAAGTTCAAATCTAAATAGAGGTGAAACTAGGTGAATTCTAGTCATCTCCCATAGTTTGTGGGGATGGACTTATTCCATACTCGGGATGCAAAGTTGGCTTGACACTAGTATTGTCAGAAAAAAAAAAGAGAGAAAATAAAGTGATACTTTGAGAAAAAATGAGGAGAGAACATAATATAGACGAAAATCACTATATTTCTGTGACATTTTGTTCACAGAACTGTTGGTAAACTTTTTCTCTGGTTCCTGTTGTTTTGGAAATGACTTTGGTTTCTTCTTTTAGTTATAACTTTGGGTAAGTTGTGGAAGAGTTTTGATTAAAAGTAGCTTCATGTTTTTGTTCGTAAGAGCTAGTTGGTACTTGATGTCTTTACTCTTAAAAGCTAGTTGGTACCTGCTGAAATAGGTCAATTGAGATGCACGCGAACTGGCCTAGGCATTACTGTAATAAAAAAGTAAAAAATATGAAAAATAGGAAATAGCTTTGTGACTACAGGTAAGTGCTTTCTGATATTAGTATCATTATAGAATATCACATCCTTTCCTCCTAATATAAAGAGTAATCATGTGAATGAAGGCACATCCTATATAAACCCATATCAAATATTTTAAATATTTGATAGAGTTAAAATTCATTAATTCAATCAGTCAAATACTCAAGTATAGCAAGCCCCTCTTTTTTGTGATATTATAAGTGCCCAGCAAGCCAGTGGTGTATGCAGGATTTTTTGTAAGTGGTGTCGATATTTAAAAATAAATAAATAATAAATAATTGATAAAATTAATAAAAATGATTTAAAATGTACTAAAAACATAAATTAAGTAAACTACTACAACTCTCCTCGACGAGTTTTGATATTTTCAAATGTATTCATAATAGCCTCATTGGGGATAGTACTAAATATTCTTCCTCTATATCGTCGAGAAAGCTCTTTCAACTGTAGCAGTAGTCACCGACACATAAAGCAAATTTAACTAGTTGAAACACAAGAGGATAAGTTTTGTGCTTCTTCGTCTCTACGAGTATCTTGGAAACATTACGAAGTTCCTTAAGACTGAAGAACCTTTTATCATGATCTCTAACATCAACAATATAATTTTCAAGCTGAAAGCGAAGGTCGACTATAGAGTATTTAGCATAATCATCAGGGTATAACTCAGCCAATCTCAATATCTTTTTTCCATATAAAAGTTAGAAAATGAATCAATTCAGTTTGGCTTAGGTTTTACTTTATAACTTATTATTGTATCCAATTCTGATTTGAATAAGTAATAAAAATTTTATAATAGGTTATATATGTAGTATTCTAGTTCAACTGGTTTGTTTTAGCCTAATTTGAGTAGAAATAGGAGGTTGGAGGTTTAAATCCTTCTTAAACTTTTCTCTTTTTCCTTGAAAAAGGAGGCTCAAAAATTAAAGCAAAAAATGCACCTACTGAGATTCAAACTCAGGTGTGTTGTGCTTCATTTGCGACGTAAACCACATGAGCCATGACACTTGTTTGTTCAAGGAGTGTAATTTTTAATATTTATACTTCTGTTTTAGTTTTTCTGATCTACATACAGATATAAATACTAAAAAATTTTAACGAAGCCGTGTCAGCTGACCCCCCTTGATTTAAGGTGGATCTGCCTCTGCAGCAAGCCTATTTTACGTCTGGTAGTAATGATTTTTAGGTCAAAATCAAATGTACTAGCTAGTGAATCCGAGAGAAAAGTTGAATACCAGAAGATAAAATCATGGTGGAATGGTGGAGATGCAGAACTCTAGTTTGTCCCGTAGTATGTAGCTTTAGCCTGAGTTAGTGCTCATTTTATCTGGCACAAGGTTTTGTTTAATGTGTTTGAGTGTGAGAGACAAATAGCATGTGAAATAACTAGTTTACACTAAGTGGAGAGAGATATTATGACCATTCGATTTGCATAATCCTGTCACTATGATGCTATTTTTCCAATGATTTCCTTTAAATCACCTTTTCGCTTTGGCTCTAGAAGCTAATTCTGGCTTGAATTTTCGTTACAGGTTTTGCAAAAGGTACTGGAGGTATGGGATCTTCAAATCATTCCACTGGATAGCCCAGTTGCTGAGCTGGCTCAGATTGACCCAGAACTGAGAAATGCATTTATCTGTCACTTGCAGAACCATTGGTTCTGTATCAGGAAAGTAAATGGGGAGTGGTACAACTTTGAAAGTCTCAAGCCGGCTCCTGATCACCTCTCCAAATTTTACCTTTCAGCGTATCTTGACTCCTTAAAAGGCTTTGGCTGGAGCATTTTCCTGGTGAGCGGAAAATTTCCCAAGGAATGTCCGATCTCTTCCTCTGAAGCTTCTAGTGGATATGGACAGTGGCTGTTACCAGAAGATGCGGAGAGGATTACCAAGTCCTGCAATGCTGCACAGAGAACAGGTAGCAGAAGTGGTCAAACTCAGTGGCAATCTGTTCCCTACCGCCAATACGAGGAACAAGGTATGCTTTTAGATGAAGAAGATGAGGATTTGAAAGTTGCAATTGCTGCCAGCTTGCTGGATGCTGCCCCCGCAGTCAGCACCAAACCTGATACCTTGGAAAATGAAAATAAGGACAATAGTGCAGCTAATGCATGACAAGGGAACATTTTCAGTGTTTTAAGCCGGGAAAACTTATGAACTGTTTTTTTTCCTCATAATTGCATCCGATACTGGATACTAGTTCATAATTCTGCTGCATAAACAGTGATGTTGTTTCTTATTTCAAAAAATAAATTAAAAACGATACACATGGACGTTGTTTGTTGGCTAAGAGCAAGATTTTTATATAATTTGAAAAGAAAAATGAAAAAAACTTGATCTTCATAGAATTTGTACTTTGTAGTCATTTCATTGAGACAGTTCTTATTTCACTTTTTTGTTCTTGTTTTCTTATTTGCTGCTTGTACATTTTTTGGATGTAAATATTGTTTTATGCCATGTGATCGTCTCTTATTTAAATAATAACTAGGGGTTTAATGCCTGGGCGAATTTGTATTGACGTTGTACGGACGAATTTTTTATTGGCGTGAAAATAAAAAAGACGTGGTCATGTTTAAAATATATTACATTACTTTTGTACAAGGTTATACAGTAAGCTTGCTAATCAAAAGAGGGAAAATGGATGTTAGTGGTGTTGGGTATGTAACAAGAATTGATGGGAAATAGAGGGAAGGAGAGGAATTTGAAAAGCTTAGAACTTGAAAGGTTGGGAACTTGAGAAGTTCTCTAATGCTTTATTTAAAAAGGCAATAGTCGCTCATCGGTAATGGAAATGAAAATAGGAGAGTTTAAATAATAAACACTCCTATTAATTGTTAAAAGGGTTGGAAAGAGGGACCCCCTCGCGCCGTCGTCGTCGTCGCTCGCTTCGGCTTCGGCTTCGACTTTGGCAAATGATCGATCAAGAGATAATTTTTTGGACAAATTTATTTTAATTATTTATTTAATTAATTTAATGGCCAAAAATTATTTTCAATTAATTAGTTGATAACAGAAGTTAACCGAAATGTTTTCAACTTTTTAGTTAACTCGACCCGACTCGAATCCGCGCGCGTGACCCGTTTTAAATTCCGTTATATTTATAAAATTCCCGCCATGACTGTTTTGAAAGGTTGCAACTTTCAGGAGCAGTCAATACCATTTAAAAGTTTGCAACCTTTCATTAATGGTCGTGTCAATTCTGAAAGGGTTGCAACCTTTCAGAATATATTCTTCTTGCCTATAAATACCATTCAGTTTTCAGAAATTTCCCAACGAATTTTTCTGATCTTCCTTGTTCTTAAAAAACACATATTTCTTCGTGTACTTTCCTGCTGTGGATTGATTCGCTGTCAATAGAGTTTTTGGTATCTATACTCTTCTGATTAAGATCATTTTACCCTGGGAGGTTATATTCCAAATTAAACCTCGGATACTAGAGAGGAATAATTTCCTTAAGGGGACACTGTGAATTCAGTGGACTTGATTTTCTTCCTAAATTGTCAAAAAAAGAGTATCCCAGATTCTGGTAAGTTTTACAGATTTCATTTATTTTTTACAAATAAATTTCTGTTCATCTTATTTACTGGTTCTAAAAATCTCAGTTACTTCGTGTTTCTGACTGATTTATTACAACCTGTAATTTTTTATTTTCATAACACAGATTGGCAACAAGTGGTTCAACTGCGTGTTTGGCTGTCAAAGATGGATTCTGAATGGAGTTCTGGCAAAAAGAATTGACTAGTCTTTGTGGTAAAGCAGAAACTGTACAAAGTGGTGGGGCAATTAATTGACTTCATGAGATCTACAAAAGTGAGCAAGCTTTGTATTTCCTGTGAGGCAGTAACATTACATCAAATATGTGGATTTGAGATTATAGCATAAACAAATGAAATTGCCTTACCTTTCCTGTACCGAGGTTAAAAGTAGCCGCCGAAAAGCTTGGATTAACTATAGAAGTTGTTTTCAAAGAAAATGTCTGGTTAGTATGTTGGAGAAACAGTGGTTGAACAATGAATTAAGAGTGATAATCACCTTTAGTTTGGTTTTTCTGAAGTTGGTGGCTGCAGCTTGTGTTTTATTCTTTGTGATGATGATTTTGCTTGTTCACTCACTTGTTCTGGTCCAGTCTGTTGTTTTCTTTTGCTTGATTCCTGGATATTGGTTTTGTTTGGTGCTGTAGGGATAGTTGGGAATTCGGCTATAGATTTGGGGGGAAGGGGGGCTTTTGGCCATTTTCTCTTAAATAAATGACTTCTTTATAGTTAACTTTGTATTTATCACTCATCAACCATTAAAAGGATAAAGGATATTTTATTTTAGGTTGTTCCTAAAGTTGACATCGATTTTCACTTAAACATCTTAAGTAGACTTTGTTCATTTTGAACACCTCAATTGAGGGTCTATTGTATCATTTTGACACGCTTTTGATAATTAGCTAAAGGCCTAACCCATCGGTGGTCTCTTAAATTTGGCACAAAGTTTCACTTAATCACATGTCATATATCAAAATAATTCTAAACTAATGATTTTTAAGTAAAAAGAAAAATAACCACTCACTTGATGACACGTGGCATTTACAACTCAAATAATAAATATTTTTTAAAAGGAAATTCAACAAATCTAATTCTCAAGAAACTCACCCTTGTCTTCTTCACCCCCTCCTTTTTACTTCTAAAAAAACAATGGAAGAATTTTTTTTTTACTTTCTCGTATGTGCAGAGGATTCAAATACGTGAACACGAAATAGAGTAATTATTTTATGGCGCTGAAATTTAATTGTTGGATATAAAGAAACAAAATGAGCAGAAGATAATAGTTGTGGCAATTTTTAGATCTGAAAAATTAAAAATTATTTTGATTTTAATATGATCCATGGCGATGTTGCATTAGCGTGGTTTGATGGTGTCTGGTAGATGAGATAATCACAAAGATTGAGGGGAGAAGATGAACAATGTTTTAAAAATAATTTTTTTGGCCTGAAAGAAAGCTCCTCACGCGCTGACTTTGAGTGTATTACACTTAGGAGCGGACATTCGGTATTTCGGTTCGGTTCGGTTTTTTTTCGGTTTTTTCGGTTTTCGATTTTTGTTAATTGCGTACCGAATACCGAACCGAAATATTTCGGTTCGGTTTTTGTTAATTCGGTTTGGTTTTTATTAATTCGGTTCGGTTTTTTAATGGGCCTGTTTAGTGGGCTTTTTAAAATTTTAAACTTAACAATTTTTTCAATTTTTTGTTTGATTTTTCAACTTAATGGGCTTTGATATTTCAACTTAATGGGCTTTGATATTTCAACTTAGGGTTTCTTATTTTTTTAAAAAAAATTATTTAATATTAATAATTATTAAATATAATATAATTTATAAATTATAATATAATATTTCGGTTTAAACCGAAATACCGAATTCCAAAGTAACACGTACCGAAAACCGAATCAAAATATCGAAAATACAAAAAATTAAACCGAATACTGAACCGAAAACCGAAATACCGAAACCAAAATTCTGAAAAATTTCGGTTCGGTTCGGTGTTTCGATTTTCCGGTTTTTATGCCCACCCCTAATTACACTCACTGTCATGTGAGCGCAAAGTGTCAAAATGACACAGCGAGATCTTATATGAGGGTTTTAAAATGAACATCGCTCAATTAAGATGTCTAAGTGAAATTTTGTGTCAAATTTAAAGAGTCATCGATGAATTAGACAAAATTAATATATTTTTAGAACTATGACCAAACACATCAAACTTTTCAAAAATATTTAACATTTATATAAAAGCCTAATCCAAAGTTAGACGGAAATAATTCTAAGAAGTCCAAGGTTGAATATGGCCGGAAAAGATTGAAGGAGGACTTGTCCTGCAATTTAACTATGCAGCTAGGGTTTGTAAAATATTTACCAAAATTTCCCTTAAACGCCGTCGTCGCTTCTACTGCTTCTCATCAAAGTCTATATAAATATTGCGTTTTACCCAGCCAATCTTCTCGTCATCGGCGCTAGGGTTTCTCAGCGTCTTCTTCAAATGATAAACTCTCTGCTCAATCGGTTCCTTATTTCTTTCTTCTATGTGTTTTTTCTTCTATTTTGCAATGGATCTGTGAGGAAACATAAAATACTGAAATATTCAACATGAGGATATATAAATTCTTTTGGTATTTCACTTTTCTGAGATCCAATCTATCACTGTTCATACTTATTCTTCATTTCCGTTGCGTTTTTTAGTTATGGGATCGAGGATGTGATAAACAATTTATCCGAGTTCTGATTCCACATTGGAAATGTAGATTACTTCTCTAAAGCTGAGATCCCCTTTTAAAACTCTAATTCTAGTTGTTGCATTAACAAAATCCGGTACTTTGGATTTTCCATTTAGTTTTGGATCTATGATGATTAGTATTATTACTGCGTTATCTTTCTAGAATTTCCAGTAATGGGATTGAAGAAGATTTTTCTAACTGAGATCCAGTCTTTTTTAATATGTATAATTTCTTTGCTACCCAGAAATGCATCAATGATGAATAATCCAATTCGTTATCCTTGCACTTTGATTGCTAAATGAAGAAAATCATGGGGAAATATAATCTGAGATGCTTTTCTGATCATATCATTAAATTGGTTCTTTTTGCAACAACCCAAATTATAAGATTTCCACTTCTTACATTAATTAAGATTAACATTAACATTACCAGATGTTAGTTAAATTTTAAAAAATGAATTATTTTTTCAAATTTTGAAATTTAATGTCTTTTTAAAATTTTGAAATTTCCTAAAGTTTAATTACTTCACTTTTCATATAACCTTCGAGAGTCAATTCTTTATAAGTTCAAGATATGAATGATATTTTTACCCAAATTTCTTATTGAAATTTTATTGAAAGCACGTTTTGGATTATTATTTTATCTTAGAAAAGATGGAAAGTTGTCCCTTGAGATATGTAAAGTATACAAATTATAAAAAAACATATTAGTCATTTTTTATTTTACCCTGTGATAAAGAAATCAATTTTATTATTTTGCCTATTATGCACATAATATTAAGTTAGAAAAAAATATACACAAGCTATAGGAATAGCTAATATTGTGAATTGTTCACATTTAAAAAGTCATACTAATAGCTGAAATGGAAAAAAATGTATAGCTAATATTATGAATTGTTCACATTCCAATAGCCATATTAATAGTTAATGGAAAAAATGTAATTGATTCTATCTTATAGAAGAAGTAAGGGTAGTTTAACAGGCAATTTTCATATATATCAAATAAAAAA